CTGGTTTCTTAAGTTCTAATCCCAGTAGTGGAGTTGCTGGGTCAAAGTGGTATGTCTATTTCCAGCTTTTTGAGAAAGCACCATACCACCTTCCATAGAGTCTGTTCCATTTTATATTCCCACCAGGAGTGAATAAGTGTTCAAATCTCTCCACAACCTCAACAGCATGTATTATTGTTTGCTGCTCTGTTGAACTTTGCTATTGTTACTGGGGTGAGATGATCTCTCATAGTTGTTTTGATTTGCATTTCTCTGGTAGCTAGGAATTTTGGACATTTCTTCTTGTGTTTGCCATCTGAATTCCTTCTTTGGTGGAGTGTCATATTCTGTGTCCATTTTGTGATTGGATTGCTTACCTTTTTCTTGTGGAAGTGCTGGAGTATTCTGTTTTAGATAGAAGTCCTTTATCAGATATGTCATTGCCAAGTATTTCCCCCCCATATTTGGATTTTCTTCTTATCTTATTGGAGAAGATTTTGATATGCATAAGGATTTGATTCCTCATTAATCTATTCTCTCCTGGTTGTAAGTGATTTTTTTTTTTTAAATATGGAACGTTTCACAAATTTGCGTGTCATCCTTGCGCAGGGGCCAGGCTAATCTTCTCTGTATCGTTTCAATTTTAGTTTATGTGCTGCCGAAGTGAGCACTGAATTTTTTTCCCCCCTAAGTCTAATTCAACCAGTTGCTCCTTAAGAAAAAGGTGGGCTGTCTCTTTCCATTGTGATGTACAGCCTCAGAAACCTGCCTCAAGGTAGCTGTGAGCCCAAGTAGACTCAATGATAGTGAGTGAGCGTGAGATCTTCACAGAAATAAGTAGAACTGCTGGTGGATTTGAACACAAGATCTTTTGGTTAGTAGCTAAGCACTTAGACACTGCACCACCAGAATTCTTTCCATTGAAAAACTGCTCTGGAACACACACAGGATTGCCATGAACTGAAGTCAACTCAATGGCAACTCAAAAACCTAACTAGATAACAACATGGAATAAAGAGATTTCCCAGTGACAAAAATCAAACTAATGGATCGAGGCTACGTTCCTCCACCCTCTCCCCCAGTACAACCTTAAGTAACACCCCCAAAGCCCTTCTGTTTGCATCTCACAAGTTTGTTCTCTCTAGATTTGCTCCCTTTTCTATAGGCAACCTTAACACTGAGTTTTGCTTCAGACCTGACCCTGAACCCAGTTCCAGAGACAAAAAGGAAATAAAATGGCCAGTTGAGGAAGCAAAGGAGGATGGAGCCTCAGAGTTCAGTCAGCCATTCCCACTGGACCCACCTGGGAAAACACTTTGCAGTCCAGAAGGGAGTAAATGTTAGGAAAACATTTTCTAACAGAATAAGAAGGCAAGCAGCTTCAACCTAAGACCACCAGTAAGGTGGTTAGTGTGCTCCCTTTCCCCCTTCACATCAATGCCTGTTCAGCATGAAGAAGCCAGAGAGTCTGTGCCCAATTCCCAAATGAGAAACCCACAAGTGAATAAGACAGTTTGTTTAATCACCATTGGACTATGCTTACCATTGCCCTGTACCATCAGGTCCCCACTGGATCCTTTTCATTTCCTTCACCTGCTCCCCCCACCAACCAAATTGTGCATCCCTGCAACTGCATCCCTGCAATTTTCATCCCTGCCCATCCTCACCCTTCTTCTCCCAACCCTCACCTCCGTGTATCCCCAACATGTTTTTCCCAATAAAATTAAAAAAAAAAAAGCACTGCTAGAGAAATGTTAGAACTGCACCTTGTCAAGGGAGCAAAATTCTCAGACCTGGGAAAGCAAGCCCTTCCTGTTGAGTTGCTATTTGTACAGGTTTCACTGTAAATGATAAATAGTAGCAATGATCCTCTAAAAGAACACAGAACTTTCTCTTTAGGTTCTTCTCTATTATTATAACCTCTCTTTCTAGTTAATTGTAACACCAAATTACACTGTACTATTTTTATTGATTTTTCCATACTGTTAGTTTTAAGTCTAAGAAAAAAAAATTGAAAACACAACAGGAGTGAAAATTTTAATATATCGTACCACAACTTGGCAAAATAACTTTAATGACTTGAGTTCTGAGCTCATAAAAAATTGAAACATCAAACGTTTTTCACTCAATACACAGGAACTTGGTCACATGAAGGCAATCACCATGTTTGTTTTGATTCTATTACTCAAAAATATAATATTGAAAATATCCTTAGAAAGCCAATAACCATATTTAGAACATTGTGTGGTAAAGGATGCAATTTGCTAGACTAAAAAGGATTTTATTGTTATCTGCTTCAAAAAGAGTAGGTGGGGGAAATGAAGCAAGCCTGTGATGCTCAAAGGGAATTTGAGAAATTTCTATTTCAGTAGTTTTCAGAGCTGTGCTCTTGAGCACTACAGGTGAAATCTGGGGAAAGGTTCAAGGAGTGGGTAGTGCAGGGATGGGGTCTTTAACCAAAACATTTACATTTATCCCTTAAATGTTGGACTTCTCTGTAATCATTTGATGGAATGACTTCTTGTGTTAAAAAAATTTAAACTTCTGATTTTGCTTCTTCCAGATAGTAGACATGGTCACAATATTTCTCCTTCACAAACCTGTGGCCCACCAGCCAGACACACTTGAGGACAATAGGGTTGGTTGAGCATTCCTGAAAGAGCAAAACTTTGGTCTAACCAACTCTCATTATTTTCAAATGAAAAACAAAACAAAACAAAACCCCTGACATAAATAAAGCTTATTTGAACAGATTATTCCCCTTTGTAACACTTTTTTCATACATTTAAAAGCCAAACAATTCTTTTTTCTCAGGAACCTTAAATACAGTTTCACTCTAGAAAATAATTGGTCTTACATCTACAGAACACGATAACTGGGGTCATTATTTACAACTTGCAGACATGGCACCGATGTCTCTCTTTTACGACACTGAAATGATAGAACAGACGTGCTGACTAGTTTGGCTAACTTGATAGTTGCTTGGTGGTGACTGCTGAGTGCTTGTAAAGCAATTATGAAAAAGCATTCTTTCTGAAAAGGCAATTACTGTGTAAGTGCTGGGGCACTGTGTTCAATGGGCTTTGCTGACATTCATGCTGATGTATGTGAAGTTTGCATGCAGATGATAACAGCATAAAAAAAATCCTGATCATAAAGTGAGTCTGAGTACATGTGCAAGCATTATTTTATTTCTATGAATAATGTTCCAATCAGCCATTTTTCTTAATGGCCCTGTCACTGAAAATGGGTTTACAATTTTGAAAGATGGCAGCACTGCTGTGGTTCTGTCCCTCATTTGGACACAGCCGCCTACATGCTAAGAACTTTGATGTGGGAGCTGTCTCAGGCCTCGAAGTAATGGGACACTGGCCTTCAGGGGGAATCCTGAAAATGGCTCAGCTTCAAGTACCATGAAACAAACTGGTTATTCATCCATCTATAAAAAGGGTTACTGAAATGGACCGTGTTAGCACACAAGCTGGTATCCAGGACAATCATTACTAAAAGGTTGAGAGAAAATAACTTTAAAAAGTGCCATTGTGAGGTATATCATGGCATTTAAAAGCATAATTATGTGGAGCCTCTATCAAAATTAAAGTACATGAAGTCTAAAGTCTAATTGTGATAACCTGCAGCAACCTATATGAAGTTTAGTTCTTTAGTTCTTGTTTTAGGTCTTATCTTTAGAGCGATAATGTTTTTCAATTTTAGCTATATTTTTTTAATGTTTGGTGATTCCCATGGGGGAAGGGTTTTAGTGTAACTTTGTATGCTAGAAGTCAAGTTTGTTTTGGAATATTATATAAATAAGATAAATAAAGTGATTAAAGTATTTAAGAGAGTACCTTGTTTAAGCAGTTTATAATATTTGAAACTTACATATAAATAATGGAATAAAGAGATCCCAGCAGGTACTGTCCTTATATATAAATGTCAACAGGTACTGTTCAAGATACATTTTTCTGAAGATTATGAAGTTTCATAATTCTTACCAATTTACTTTTTATAATCAGTGTAAGCTTTGACTTTGTTTCTTAGCTATTTCAAGAGACAGATAAAAAGAGTTGAAAGAAGCTTCTATTTAAAATGAAAACCTGTGCAACCACTGTCCCACCACTTAAATATTCTGATCTCATTTATAATCAGAAGTAATAATACCTACTTTGCTGATTAAGTGGGGCGGGGGGGAAGTATGTTTGAATGATTTATAATCTCTCTCAAAAAATCATTGCTGCTGTTGAGTCGGAATCAACTCACAGCCGACCCACTCGTAGGTTTTCAGAGGTGGTAAACCGCACAGAGGACTGCCCATCTTTCTCCCACAACACAGCTGGAGGATTCAGTTGTGCCTCTGGGCTGGTGGCACAACTCCTTACCCACTAAGACATCACAGTTCTGTCTCTTAAGGATCTCCTGCTGTTCAGGTTTGGTTTTTTTTTTTTTTACTTCTCTTTGTTTCTTTAGGAGAAGAAGAGACCTATACTCACAGAGCCTTGACTTATAGGTAGTATTCATTTCTTCGTTTAAGAAAATGAATCTGTATACCATCTTTGGTCAGTACCACTTTAGGTTTCTTGCTGTGTTAACAGTACTGGCTACATAACAGTAATTTTTAAATTAATGGAAAGAATCTTAAATATGAATGATTTAAAATATTTTCTATTAGCTTTCAATCATACTTTTAAAACACTTAGAATACAGGAATATAATGATAAGTTGTTTCAGATCTAAGAGTAACATAAAGATTTCATGTATAGTTAGGTGGGGTGTCAGACCCTTAAATGTGCTCTTACTTGGTCCCTGTAACAATCTGATATTGGATGTTAATGTATTTTGAAATACCTTGAACTTGTCATATAAAGTCTGATTGTGGTAAAGTTATTTAAAATAGTTTCTTTGAAAAAAATTTGAGAAGCAGATATTCCACTACCAGGAAAAAAAAAGCATCTCTGCAATAAGAGTGAGAGGCATTAACTGTTCATCCGTCATGTCAACCCAAGTGAGGTCTTCCCCTCCCCCCAGTGCAGCAACATATTTTAGGGCAGCAAAGTTCAGACACAATGGCCTCTTCAGAAAAGCATGCAAGTTAGGTCAGGTCACTTGTTTTAAGTCAGTACAACAAATTTGTTTACCAGACTCTGACCATGAAAAGAGAGTGATGCAGGAAGTCCATGTCAACTGCAGCCATATGGGTTCACATGAACCTATTGGTTCACGTGATCGCTACCTAATGTTGGGCTTTATTTCCTTTTCTTCTTCTTCATCACTGTCATCGACCTGCTGAATGACCAGATCAGCCGACCCATCCTCTACAATCTCCACGTAGGACCTGTTCTCATCTTCGTTCAAGTGCCACCTGGAATCCTTTTCTCCTTCTGACGGGGACATGAGGTGCTGCTCTTCCAAATCCATGGGCAGGCTGTCTATGCCAACTTCAGCAAGGCACTCGTTACAGAGCCTGTAGCGCCTGGTTCCCTCCTGGACCACCTGTCCTGTCAGATCAGTCACATGGCGTTTGCATTTTCTGCAGATCAGTTTGCATGCCTGATGAATCTGTGTAGAGAGTTAAATAGGAATTAAAAACATTTTTCATAAGCAGGACATTTTGACAGTTTAGACATTAGTTCAAAACTTAAAATGTTCAAGGCTAAATATCAACTTAAATTAGAATGTTGTTATATGTGTCAAGTTTGAATTGACTAATAGCTGAGCCTCCTTCTGTAAATCACATAGGAAAAGATTGTCCATCTTTCTCCTGCACAGCAGTTGGAAGATCTGAACCTCAAGCCTTTGGGTTGGCAGTGCAGCTCCTTAGCACTAAGCAGAAACAAGTCTGTCTTGTAGGAAATACAACCAGGGTGCTCTTTAGAGTCAAGGATGGTGAAACTCTGTCTCACATACTTTGAGCATGCTGTCAGGAGGGACCACCTGGGAAGAAGACATCATGTTGGGAAAAGTAAAGAGTTAGCTAAAGAGAGAAGACCTTCAACATTATGGAGTGACATAGTCACTGCAACACTGGGTGCAAGCATGTTTGAGATCTTTAGGAGGGAGTGAGCAGGACAGGGTAAGACTGAGATCTGTTGTTCATAGGATGGCTGTGAGTTGAGTTGTCAGGGCAGACAGCAACAACAGCAACAACACTGGAAAACTATCCTAGGGTATGGCACTGAGAAATATTATATATTAACTTTCTCTAAATAATGTGTTCAGAAATGTTAAACATGTCTCTAATTGCTGTTGAGTCAGAACCAACTTACAGCCAACTCTCCACTGAGTTTCTGAGACTTCTAACCACATGAGAAGAGAGTTCCCATCCTTCCCCTGATGCTGCTGGTGAACTCAAATCACCAGAGTTAGCAGGGCAGCTCCCTACAGGCTACTCCACCAAAGCTCATTACAGTTTCGTTTTCTCTAAATAATGCCTGTAACATAAAATTATCAATATTACCTACGTAAAAATTCCACATCTCCATTAATCAGACAGTACTTTGATATTTCAGGTAACAAGGAGATACTTTCCTAGAATAATAATAATAATTTCAAACCCGATGATGTGTCATGTATGCTGTTTTAAGGACTTAATATTACTTCAGGAACCAAAGCCTCTCATGTTTTGGGTATTAATTTTACCAAAAAGCAAAATACTGTCCCAAAATGTAATTGTGTGTATGTTTACTTTTTTCTAAAATTAAATTTATACGTATTTTTTGATAGATTACTTGACTGGCCTGGGAATCGCCTGGTTTTGTCATTTACTAACCATTGATCTTGAAGCAAGTATTTAAAATATAAACTTGCTTTAAGAGTGATGGAGAGCTCTGGTGGCAGAGTGTTACATGTTACACCGACAGTCTCAGGTCAGTGGTTAGAATACACCAGTACTTCCAAGGGAGAAAGAGGGACAGTCTCCTCTCACTGTGACAGCCTCTGAAACCTCCTGGAGGGTTATTGCATTGAGTGAGAATCTGAATTCCGGCAGGGGTTGGTTCTGGGTTGGTTCAGGGCAATAAAGAGAATATGTAACACCTGATGAGGTGCAGGCCTCACTCAAGCTGATTAGAAGGCTGACTAATCAGAAAGGACACTGTCCAGAGGCAACCACTATGATGGCTCTGTTTAACCCTACCTGCTTCCTTATTGCAAACAGGGTAACTACTCACAGGTCTGATATGAGGACTCAATACGAAAGAGTTCAAATGTGTGAAAGATGTTTGGCCAAAACCTGTAATTAATGAATATTATCTATTATAGTGATTGTTAGTAATACCTATAGTAATCTGTATGCTGAGCAAACCATTTGAGAACTTGGACTATGTGAATAAGAATGTGGCATCAGGATCAGAAGACTTATCAGCAATTTGCGCCATGGCAGATGACACAGACTTGCTGAAAGTGAAGAGGACTTGAAAGAATTGCTGCAGAAAATCAAAGTCTACAGTCTTCAATTAAGAAAGCAAAAATCCTTGCAAGTGGGCTAACAGGCAACATCATGATGGAAAAAAAGTTGAAGTAAACAATTTCATTTTACAGGGATGCACAATCAGCACTCTGGGACCAGCAGTCCAAAAATCAAGAGAGGTGTTGCATTGGGGAAATCTGCCAGCAAGGACTTTTCCAAAGTGCTAACGAGTAATGATGTCTGTTTAAACACTAAGGTGCACCTGATCCAAGCCACAGTCTTTTCTACGACTTCCTCTGTATCTGAAAGTGGGACAGTGAATAAGGATGACAGAAGAATCGATGCCTTTGAGTTGTGGTGTTGGAGAAGGGTGCTGAATAGACATCCACGGATTGCCAAAAGAACAAACGAGTCTTTCTTAGAAGAAGTGCGACCAGGGAGCTCCTTCGGGGCAAGGATGGTGAAATTTCATCTTGCGTACTTTGGGCATGCTGCTGGGGGAGTCTCATCCTGGGAATGGTGGAGGGTCAGAGAATGAGAGGAAGATCTCCAACAAGATGAACTGAAATAGCCACTGTAACAATGGGCTCAAGCATATCAAAGATCATGAGGGTGATGGAGAAGAGGGAGGGCAGGGTTCAGATCTGTTGTTCACAGGGTTGCTATGAGTTGACTTGAAGGTACCTAACAATAATATCTGTTAATAGTAAGTCATTCTATTTATACCTGTCACAGTCCTGATGACATGCATCACAAGCTGGGTTAGAAAACTGAAGGCTCAGTGGTTTGAAGGAAACCTTCAGCTGAACAGAAGGATGAGGAAGTTGCCTCCCATATAGACTAAAAACCTCAAAAATCCAATTGAGGATCAGTCACTTAGAGGTGAAACTGACTCAAGGGTAGTCGAGTTGGGTTTTAATACACAATTATTAGAATTAATTGTATAATGCTGAATGAATAATGTTGGTGGCATATGGACATAAGTCACTTTAACAAACTAGCAAGGACAGCATTATTTCATTTTAAAACATAGATAAAACCCAACAAAATAAACAAAAACCAATCATGCACATATAAGCAGAAAAAATGTTCTGTAAGAATATATGATAAAGTGTTAAAAAGTGTTAAAAATGGCAATATCTGGTTGTTGAAAATGAATTATTTTTATTTTCTTGTTTTCACTGAGATCTATTCCTTTTTTTTTTTTGCAATGTATATAGTTTTTGTAATAGTAAAAAGTTACTTTTATGGAAAAAAACCCAAGCTTCATTAAGGCAGAGGTTTTCCTTGCTCTGTTTATTGCTTTATATCTAGCACTTAGAACAGGGGCCTGCACATAGTAGGTGCTTAATACATATTTGGTGACTAACTACAAAGCAACGTATTAAGAATCACCTTAAGTGATTCTTTAAGTGTTTCTACTGTCCTTAAAATTAAAGAGGCTTTTATGAATGGAAGCTCTGGTGGCCTAGTGATGAGAAGTTGTGCTGCAAATACCAAAGGCATGTGGTTCAAATCCACCAGCAGCTCTGCAAGAAAAGATGGGCAATTTTCTCCTTTGTGATTTATTGCTCCTGAAAACCCGCTGGAGGGTCAGCTCTGAGTTGGTTCCACCTTGACAGCATACAACAACATGAATGGAACAGAAATGCCTGTTATAGAACACTTATTTTGGAAAACAATCTTGCTATGTCTGGCAGAATTCCAAAGCCACTGCATCATTAAACTATTAGGGCACTAACCAGCAAGTTCCCTGAAATTTTTCAGACTGCTGACAGTCAAGTCCTTGACTGAGGGGAGGCTCTATTGCTCTCCTTGTTCCCTTTCTTAATAAGACTAAAGAACAACTAGAGAGACTGGAAAAGGGGTGCCATGGAAAGTGGCCAGATCAGCTAGACAGATCCTACCACGTAGGAATTTGACATCCATTAGCAGATGCTGAGTATATGAATAGAGAGCCTGACAGACATCCAAACATTTATACAGCTTACACTGGTATGGCTCTACAAAGCCCAATACATAAAAAGGGATTAGATTTTGTTGTTGTTATGTCAAGTCCAGCGAGTTTTCAGAGGAAAATGGCATAGGAGGAGACTGTACATTTTTCTCCTAAGATGCAGCTGGTAAATTTAAACCAAGTCCCTCTGGATGGGCAATGCAACTCCTTATTCATTAGAACACCAGATTTTAAGTGAATTAGAACTAGCATCCAAGAAGCCATTCTTTTACTTCAGGGTTTCAAGGAGAAGAACTGATATGTACATCTATATAGAGGGAGCTCCAGTAGCCTAATGGGTAAGGAGTTGAGCTGCCAGCCCAAAGGCAGGTAGTTCAGATCCACCAGCTGCTCTGCAGGAAAATATGGGCAATCTCCTCCCATGCCATTTATAGCCTCTGAAAACTTGCTGGAGACTCAGCTGTAAGTTGGTTCTGACTTTATGGCACAAAACAAGAGCAAAAATATATTTAAATGGCAAAGTTGTGATTTGTTGCTCACAGGGTTGCTGTGAGTAATAGTTGATTCAAAGGCTCCTAACAACATGTTCACAGCAACCCTATGAACCACAGACTACCTTGGCCTGTACTGTACCATCTTCACAATCTGCTCCATGCTCAAGCCCACATTTCAGTCACTGCCTCAACCCATGTCATTGAGGGTCCTGTTCTCTTTCATTGTCCCTCTCCTTTACCAAGCATGATGTCTTTATCTAAGGGCTAGCTGCCCCTCCTTCTGTTGATACATATGTACAGTTCCCATATAATCACGCATTAGTCACAAAGCAAAATCATTAACTTGAACATTTTTTCATATAGTAGTGTTGTGTGAAAAAATTTATCTCATAAATCACATTATCCTAAAGTAGATAAACACACATTTCTTAAGAAGTAAAACAATGGAAAATTATATATACATACTGTTCGAAAGTGGCTGCTTAGATGGTCTAGCCTGCTGAATCTTTTCCCACAAGCTTGACATGGGTAGGGCCTTTCTCCTGTGTGACAACGAAGGTGGCGCTTTAGGTCGGCTTTCCGCTTCACCACGTGGGGGCAGTATGGGCACTTGAACCGCATCCTGGGCAGGTCGTCTGAGAGGAGACAGTTCATTACATGACTGTGAAGTCTAGAAACAACTCTAATACCAAAATCCACAAAACCTTGCTAGGCCCAAGCTCACCCAGGGCAGAGAAGAGAGGCATTTGATTAAGACTAGCTCCACCTCACCCTCACTGCTCTCGAACCTGAACTGACTCATAGCTGACTTTCCAGGCTGTTTTCAGAGGTTGTGAATCACCCAGGAGGCAGCTGCCCGTCTTTTCCTGAGAACAGCTGGTGCCATGGGGTTGGCAGCACCATTCTACCCAGTCGACCACCAGGACTCCCTTCAGACTAGCTAGTCAATGTAATTCTAAGTATGTTGTTACGTGCTATCAAGTAGACATCAACTCACAGCTGACTCTCCAGAGGGTTTTCTGAGGCTGTAAAGAGATTATACTTTCTCCTGTGGAGAAATTCTAAATATAGATGTTATCATTTCAATACTTTGAATATTTACAAAGTGTGAATAAAACTAACAGACTGTAATCACACATAGGATTTTACTGAATGTAGATAGACTAGATTACAAGTGTAAAAACGTGGTGTAGCATTTTGCAAATATAAACATAACCAAAAGAAATAATTCAGTTAATATTTAAATCTTACCCAAAGGTTTGAGTAACTTACTTTGTTCGTGTGTGTATTTTTTTTCTTTCTTTCTCCTTAAGGGAGCTCTGGTGGCATAGTTTGTAGGCAGTTATAATATTAACTCAGAGACTGCCTCTCTGGAGGTTCGAATCCACCAGTGGCTCTGTGGGACAAAGATGGGCAGTCTCCTCTCATGCCATTTCCAGCCTCTGAAAACCTACCGGAGGTTCATCTCTGAGTTGGTTCTGACTTGATGGCCATGAGAGTATTTCTTCACTTTAGGCATGATATAATCTTGTCCCCTCCCGCCCCTCCATTGTATTATTTATTTTAAAATAAAAATATCTTCTTGTTTTCAGTGAAATCACAGCAAATTAGTTTCTCATTTAACAACATCTATACAATTTGTTCAGTGACATTGATTACATTTTCAGTTAACTTTTTCTTTGTTTCCTTTTTCTGGCTGTTCCGTCTCCAGTAATTCAGTTTCTGGAACTGGCTCCATTGTCTTCCCAAGTTTGCGTCTGAGTAAATGTTTACCACTTCATCTCATATATATGAGGTTTTACAGGAACAAAGTACTTATGGATGACAATGCGTATTTTTTGAGCCAGGCTATTATTAAGCTAAAAGATGACCTCATGGAAAGCTTTAGTTGGAAGTTTAGAATATCTCAGGGTGAAAGTGCTGGGGAGTCCTCTAGTCTCCTAAGTGTGGAATTATAAAGAATTTGAGTTCTGTTCCATAGAACTTTTTTTAAAAGGAGAATAATGTCAAGGATCATCAAGTTGTGTTTTAGAACAAAAATTATGTTAAAAACTCTTGTGAAAATATATGTAGCAAAACATGTCATCAGATGAAAAAAATCACAAAAATTTCTACATAAAAATGTCCATTTTGTGCTTGCTTTGGCAGCACATATATTAAAATTGGAACAATACAGAGAAGATTAGCATGGCCCCTGCACAAGAATGACACACAAATTTGTGAAGTGTTCCATTTCACAATAGTAAAACAATGTTTTCATTATTAAAGTTAGATTTAGCTGTAAAACAGCATCTTCGCCCATCAACAAATCAATGGATAGAGAAGCTGTGGTATATTCATAAAATGGAATACTATGCTGCATTGAAAAACAAAGAACACATGAAATATTATAAAAAATGGATGACCCTGGAGGACATTGTGCTGAATGAAATATTTCAGTCACAAAAGGACAAATACTGCATAGTGCCACTGCTGTAAAATGGGACTGACATTGGGGCTGGGGGGAGACTGAAAAAGATGGGATAAATTATGTATACTGCATTGAAACAGATGAGGGAGAGATCTGTTTAAAAGGGTATATGATTAGGTAATATTGTCATGACAGAATGACATGTCCAGAATGACAGCTGAATAGTGGAGTGGACTTGGGGAGAGGGATTATATAATAATGAAAGAATTTTTCTTTTGCTTTTCAAAGAGAAGAGTGAACAGAGGGGGGAGGGGTGAGCAGGGAGAAAAGTGCAACAATGTATGAATGGAAATCCAAAATCTCTATAAATTTTCATTAAAATTAATTAAAAAAACCTAAAACCCCAGCATCTTCATTTATTAAAATTAGATCTAAATAACTCAGGAGGCAGAAAAGGACAAATAAGTTGTATCAAGTTACAAAACAGTGGAACCCAAAGGTAAAAAAGAGAACTTTTTGTGCTTTAAAATGCACAAAGATTTTTCATTTTTGTGGCTATTTTTGTATGTATTGGCCAATGTGTTAGCCTGGCAGGACATCCTATAAATGCTAAAATAAAATTTCATATCTTCTCAAATTAATATCCCATAGAGAAATGTGATCCATAAAAATCAATGGACTGACTATTATTTTAAAATGTACATCATCTACAAAGAAAACAAAGTTATTTACAAAATTGACAATGAGAGAAATGTGGACACTGATTGGTTATTTAGTGATATTAAGGAATTACTGTTAATTTTGTTAATGAATTTGTTTAGCTAATTTTGTAAAGGTAATACATTATTTTGACTGATAACCAAAATGTTGAGCCCCCAGTAGTTCCACAGGAGAAAAGACCTGGTGATGAGCTGCTGTGAAGATTACAGCCGACAAAAGTGCAGGGGACAGTTCTAGTCCATCCTATAGGGTCAGCATCATTTGGAATCGACTCAAAGGCACCTAAAAACAACTCATTTTAGAGAGAAGAATCTAAAGTTTTTATAGATGAATATATGTCTGAGATCTGCTTAAAAAGAATACAAGACAGCAGGTAGACTAAAAGTGAAATAAGATTAGCTATGAGTCAAAACTGGAGCGGTGGAATGGGTGCATGGGTATTTATATTATTCTCTTTACTTTCATATATTTTCTAAAATACTTTCCCTAAACTTAAAAAATAGATCCTGGGTCTGTGACACTTTGTATATATGCATGGTTGCCCTATTTAAATTGTTTGTATAAAAATACTCTTCCTGAGTAAATAATCTGAGGGAAAATTCTATTTAAAGTGAAAATAAGTGTCTTGGGAATTGGATTCTAGTAAAGAACTTTAAGTATTTCACAATAATTTGACTGCCATTTGTAGGTATAGAAAGATCATAGATTTTGACTATTGCTGTGTGCCATCGAGTCAGAACTGACCCATAGCTGACCCTCCAGTGGGTTTTCAGAGGCAGTTAAGTGCACGGAAGAGACTGCTCATCCTTCTCCCACAGAGCAGCTGGTAGATACAGATTTGAACCCTGTGCCTTTGGGATCGAAATGTAGCTATTTACCAGTAGGCCACCAGAACTGCCTAGTTTAGTTGTGACTATCATCCTAGTGATAGTTTTTACTATCATTATTCTTTTGGCCTTCGTGAAACTTAAGCATTATTATATTTTTACTTAATTTTTTTTCACTTTTTAGGATTCCATTTAGAGAGCATATTGTGTTTCCATTCAACTATTCATATACATTTTGTTTTCTTACACTGACTACAATGCACTCACTTGCTTCCTTCCAGTGATTCTTTTTATCATTTAACCTTCTATCTTTATTAATAAACAAACCCAGTATTATTTTAAATGAAAAATTTAAGAATTATGTTTTAAGAAATAGATTTTCATTAGAGAAGTATGACTTAAAAAAAAAGGCACTTTTTACCAATGATCCAACTACCTACCCATAAAGTCTCTAGTTAAGAACATGTTGAAACAGGGCTGATGTCTATGAAGATTAGGAACCAGACTGAGAGAATTTATGCTCTTTTTTGGGTACCTGGGAAACTTCTGGATGTGACATCAGATCCTTGACCATATTGATAGCTGGAAGGAGTAGAGTCCACTTCGGCATCATTTTGTGCTTGCTCGCCAGCTGGGGGAACGAGGACGGAAGGATCAGATGTCCGTGTATCTCGTTTGCTTGACTTACAATGTACAACTTCAGAAGGCTGTGACAACCTCAAATGTTTGGGCTTCTTGATAGGATCTTTCCTTTGCTCAGGCTTGGCCAAAGGTTGCTGGGTATTCCTTTGGGAGGCTGAATGGTAACTGTACTTATTCCAAGATTTTCCACTTATTACCCCTGGTCCTTGATCAGGGCTTAGGCGAGAATGTGGAGAGCTGCTTTCTTCTTGCCAGCCACCACTATAAAAAGAGGAGCGTTCTGCACCGTTAGAACCGGCATCCTTATCTGACAGACTGAAGTACCGATCTTTTTCTTTTTCACTAATGTCTAATGAAGATTTAATAAAAGTCTTACAGACACTGATGACATCAGTCATCTGAAGGAAGCTAGCAGCTGACATGACTTCTATGACATTTTGACCTGTCAGAGACAGTTTTCCTGAATAAACAAAATCCAGAATAACTGTGAATGTTTCCGGGGAGAAAGCCTGAAATGTGGCTGTGGTTGGCTGACTTGTCTCCTTGGAATTCTGAGAAAGGAGCATCTTAAAGTAGCCACTGCTAGCAAACAACACATTCCGGTGGGCTTTGAAGATCTTCCCTTCAACCAGAATGCTGCAGTCACAAAACACATCTTGTCTTCGCTGCTCATTCAGTTGTTGCAGGAGGTGGGACTGGTGGGAGGAGATCTCCATTCTAAAGAGGAAAAGACACACAAGGTTACCAAACAGCGGGCAGCAGGGCTTTCTTTTTTTTTTCTTTTTTTTCTTTTCTATAATTATATTTTATT